AAAGATTTTTTCCCGCATCGGAACAAGGCCCCTACAGAGGAAAGGCTTTATCCCAGCGAATAGAAGATACTCAGCTCCGCACAACATAGGGATTAGCACACTTTCGGGAAGAACATAGAATAGGTCTCCATTGCGTGCTTCTTCAGTATCTCCTCAGGAAGCAGCAAGAGGACGCGGCAAACTAGAAGATTATCTATAAGCATAATATCTCAACATTCTCCTACTTAGACTTTTAATCATGAAAATTATTAGAATAAATATTATATCTAAATGCATGGTTAATAGTATATATCTCAACAATGTGGACCGAATGTAGCTTGCCCTAGTGGCTGAGCACCTTCACCATCAACTGGTAGGGTAAGGATTCGAGTCACGCGATAAAGGGTAACTGAGAACACTATTAATCCTCCTGACGAGATAGGGTAAAGTAGTAGTAGTAGTAGTAATAATAATAATAATAATAATAATAATAATAATAATAATAATAATAATAATAAATACAAAAAACTTTGGTACATATCATCAAGCTTCTGCTACTTCTCTTTGCCTTACTTATATTCATTAAACAACAAATATTCTACATTCTAATACAAGTAAATCTTTGAATTTCGAATATTCCCCTAGAAAAGTGAAAGTAAAAGAGGGAAAAATTATACATGTTATCTTCAAGAGAGTTGAACTGGTGGGCCAGTAGGAAGACATTTACTGTTAAGACAAGCAGCCCAAGTATCAAAGCAACCAACTCCAGGAGTAGTAGAGCAGCAGGAACAATTTAAACCCATATAATTGAAAGGTACACATCCTTTAGTAGAAGAGTTACTCTTTGGAATCACAGGGATCGGACCATCTTGAGGTCTACAAGGGTCTTTTGCACCTGTCATGTCATATATATGAAGTTGATCCGTCAGTATCTGTCTCCCGATAAAACTATATTGATTGTGTAAAAATTACAAGTATATATAACTTCAATAAATCCTTATTTATTACTAAGGGACTAATTTGTAATCATAAAATAAAAGGTAAGAGTAGAAAAGGTGATATGCTATGTATAACAAATAGGAAAGATATGAGATAAAGTTTTTCCATCAGTAATACTTTTCTCCAAATTAATTAAGCCTTGCAAAAGTGGTGGGATTTTTGAAGGAATGTTGTTCCTTTCTTAGCATTCTTTTTTACCTTTTCAAGAAATACCAGGAGAATTGTATTAGTCAAGATAGGATAATTCAATTTAGAGACTTGACCTTTTTCTCCTCTTCTTCTTCTTTTGGAGGAATTCAGATTTGACGAGACGTGAGAATGATGGTTTATTTAAATAACCAAAATAAGAAATTAAGCTCTACCTATTCCTTTTTTCGGTTGAAGAGTTTTATAATACATAAACGGCTCAATGCTCATAAAACAACAAAAATCATAACAAAAAGGTGCATTTTATGTGAAAGACTCTAAAGTTTCTTTTTCTTTTTAAGTCTAGTAACGTCATAAACATTAAAAATGCAAATAAAAAATAAAAAATAGGAGACTTTTATTTGATTCCTCCATAGGGCTTTTAAATCAAACCAAAATATACACTGACAAAGAAGTACGTCTTTTGTGCAGAGCATTTTAAGCCTTACTAAAATGGACCTCAAGACAAAACATATATACCTTCGTATAGAGCGAGAAAAGTGAAAAATACACAGCAAAGCACAAAGAAACGAAGGGCCATGTTGAATTGGTGCAGAGCGGATTGTATATATGTGGGTGGATTTTCAAAACCTTCTTATAGATTTTTGAACTTGTTATTTTTTCGACAATCTCGGTAATACAATTTTTGGGAAGCTAAAGCAAGTTGTGTCAACTTATGAATAATAAAATTATTTCCATACATGCATTGTAAAATTGGAAAGGAAATCACATTCACACCTTGCAACTAATTCCTTTCTTCATTTGGTGTAGCAACTTGCCTACTCTGCAATCCGCCTTAACAAAATGTCACCATCATTATTGACTTTTAAATGTTTACTAAAATTAGTTAAAAGTAACAAATGGTACACATAATCTACTATTAAAAAGTATCAAAATGGTACACACAATCAACTACCATTTGAAGGTTAATAATATTTACATATAACACATATACGAACGTACATTACTAGGTTGCGCTTGGACATGCTAAATGTTGCGGGCCAAACGCACACGCAAGTATACGCGATCGACAAGTAATAAAATGATGAGAAAACATCGTCCCACGAAGATTTATGATGAATTATTGTCTAATTTAAACTATTTAAGTTAATTGCTCAAGCGATTATGAAGAAGATGATTGTGATTTTTACTACTAAAAATTACTATGGAACTAAGAAACAAGCAAGAACTCAAGGATGCAAAGCAAGAACACACTCTTCGGAGAAATTTAATGAGATGGAAATACGGGGTTATGGGATTAATGTCTCTCATATTGCGTTCTTCCAGTTGATTCAATTACTTGATGTACCTAGTTTGTTGGTTAACATGGTTTATTATACTCGCGAAGTTCTTTCGACGCTTCGCTCGCCTATTCAAGCCAACCTAATACTATATGTCTATAAAATCAGAATTAACAAGGACTTTGAAGTTTCAAGTTCTTTAAGTTTGAATTGGAGGGTGATTCGTGATTTTAGCATTGTTTGATGTGATTTGAGGGCTCGACTAAGTTCTTATGGTATTTTAGGATTGGTTGGTATGTTTGGTTGAGGTCCCGGGGGCCTCAGGTGTGTTTCAGATGCTCAACAGACTAGTTTTTGGACTTGAAAGATAGCATATTTCTGGTGTTTTTGTTGCAGACATTCCTCCATCGCATTCGCGATCGCGTAGAGCATCTGGGAAAGGCAGCTAAGTTGTTCTTCACGTTCGTGATGTTGTTCCCGCATTCACGAAAATGTGGGACCTTAAGCCTACGTGTTCGCGATATGGTCCTCGCATTCGCGTAGAGGAATGGGCATATGGAGCTTCAGGCATTAAGCCTACGCGTTCGCGAAGAGGCTCCCACGTTTGCGTAGGGTCAGGCAGTGAAAGGTACGCGTTAGCGAGAGGTTCCTCACATTTACGAAGGAGGAATTCTAGGTCAGTAAAATATTGTTCATCGCGTTCACGAATGCTGCGTTCGCGAAGAAGGATTCACTGGGCAGATATAAACTTTTCAAAAACAAGGGTTAGCCATTTTTATCAAAACTTGAGTTTGGGAGCTCGGATTTGGACGAGGTTTTGAGGGATTTTCGAGATATCAATTGGGTAATGATTCTAAACTCGATTTTGGTTGTATCTCACTAATCTATCATTAATTTTATCATTTAATTTTGAATTTGGGGTGAAAAATTGAGAAAAATAGAAAGAAGTTCCTCAACTAAGATTTTGAGTTTTGACTGGGATTTTGACATTGAATTTGGATAATTTTGGTACGAGTGAACTCGTGACTGAATGGGTGTTCATAATTTGTGACTTTTTCCCGATTCCGAGACGTGGGCCCAAGGAGGCTTTTTGGGCGATTTTTCAATTTCTTGCCTTAGCTTTGATTTCATTAGCTAGACTAGTTTCTTGTAGTTATATTTATGTTATGTAATTGATTTTGGCTAGATTTGGGCCATTCAGAGTCGGATATTCGTGGAAAGAGCATTGTGACAGATTGACTTGAGCTTGGTTCGAGGTAAGTGGCTTGCCTAACCTTGTGTGGGGGAACTCCCCTTAGGATTTGGTGCTGTTTTGATATGTGAGCGTCGTGTACGTGAGGTGACGAGTACGTACACGGGCTATTTATTGTAAAACTCCATTTTTCACTGAGTCATAACGTGTTTCTCCTTATTTGAACTACACTAGCATATGTAACTATCCTGTCTAGTTTAGAATAGCATGCCTACGTGTTTTAACTACCTATCTGAACTCTGTGCAACATGTTTAGTGAAATTAACTGCTTTCTTTGACTTGAACTTAGTCTAAATTGTAGGTTTTCTTGCTGTAACTATCATTTCTGTTGGTTGAGCTGCATATTTACTTTGGGACTACGGAACGGTATTTCGGGAGATCCCTCTGTACTGCATTTACTTTGGAACTACGAAACGGTATTCCGAGAGATCCCACTGTTCAGCATATTTACTTTGGGACTACGGAACATTATTTCGGGAGATTCCCCTGCACATTTACGTTTGGGACTACGAGACGGTATCTCGGGAGATCCCCTGTTGTTATCTCTGTGTTCTAAGCTGTTGTCTTTCATTGATTTCATTCCTGTTAGATTTCCGTATTTATTTTACTGCGATATTTCATTCTATCTTATTTCATTATATCTATACCAGTAGGGTCTTGACCTGATCTAAGTCACTACTCGACCGAGGTTAGGCTTGGCACTTACTGGGTACCGTTGTGATGTACTCATGCCCTTCCCTGCACATGTTTTTCGTGTGCAGATCCAGGTACCGCTTATCAGCCGCACTACCAGTGAGGCGAGACAACTGTAGAGATTTCAAGGTATATCTACCGCGTCCGCAGACCTCGGAGTCCCTATCTACTCCTCCCCATGTCAAACAATTCTTGTATTTTCTTCTTTTGTTAGACTCTGGAGTATAGAAGTATTGTTTCTTTCTGTAGCTTGTAACTTATGATATTCCGGGTTTTGGGAGAGTTTATGTACCCCTTCGATAGTGGTTATTGTATATGCCGAGCGACATCTTAATTTCTTATTAAAAATTTACCTGTTAGTTGTTAGCTTTTATGTTTTCGTTTCATTTTCCGCAAATGTTAGGCTTACCTAATCGTACAGACTAGGTACCATCACGATAGTTCACGGAGGGAGAACTTAGGTTGTGACATTAAATTAAAGTTTGCTTTAGATATAATTAAATTCTGCATTGGATAAATTTTGTAAGAAAACAATATTGTAAAAACTCTTAATGCTTGACTTTGTTTTAATAATTAATTAGATAGATTAGATTCAGAAGATAAGTTAAACTTTTATATTCAAGTCAAAACCGCTGGCAAGAAGGAAAAGAAGAGAATTAACAAAGGAGAGGCAACTGAAAACACATATCTTCCCAAAGTACCCTCACCCCAATATTTATTCACTGATCTATCCCTTCTCCTCGACCCCCAAAATATATTTCAAAACCCTAGAACCGCAATATCCAATTCTAATTTCTAAAAGCTTTGTGTTCTCGGGGAGCAATTACAATCCAGAATACTCACAAACGATTGTTCGATTAAATAGCTATTTCATCAATTCTTCGAGAAAGGTGCGTTTTCTTAGCTTATTACCTTGTAATTTTTGGGTTTTTGTAGCCCTAATTCTTCGATTTTTGAGAACGTATTGAATGTTTTACTTCATTTGGGGTTTTTAATTACCTTAAATTGAATAGATTATTTCTGTGCTTAACTGAATTTTCTTACAATATTTTGGTATTGTTTTTTTTTCTTTATTTGCTAAAAAGTTCCCCCCCCCCCCCCCCC